TCTAGCTTTCTTCTCTGACATCCTTACGCAGAAATGTTTGATCCCTTCTCTGCCTGCTCCCTTTGTTTTCGCTGCTTCAACTTCAGTGGCTCACTTCCTCGCATACCTTTTGCATTCCTACACTATCCATTCCACTGTGTTGTATATTATTGTGGTTTTGAGTTTCTTCCACTTTAGTAGAGGTCTTAAGCTCAGGGGTGGTTCGTGCAAGAAGAATTTTTCTTTCTCTATGTCCTGATCACCTTCTGAGCCTGTAGAGTTGTTATACGTTCTGAAATCACGTCTTCCTCTTAAATCTTTCCTCTTGACTTCCTTAGCATCTTGCATTAGCAAGAAACTTATGGCTCTTCCATTTCTTTCCATTTTCAAATAAACTAGCTTGGTTTTTTCTGTTGTATTATCACACTGCTTTCATTTTCAGTCACAGCGATATTGATTATTGTTTATTTGTATTTAAGTGCCACTTAGGAATCCATGCTCTGTGGTGCTCCATGCTTGTATTTGTTTTGAAGCACCAAGTATACCTTTGTCTGTGGGTTTTTGTTTTGGTTCTCGAGAGTCTGTCTTGTTTAAAGTGTGCACTGAAAGCTGTGCAGAACCTATGGAGGCAATGCTGTTCTCTCAGGCAGCAGTGAGGCAGTTCCCCCCATGCTGCTATGTTGAATTCTTCGCAGGTGCTGCCCATATGTGTTGGGTATATGCCTAAAAATGGGAAGAGTGATGTTGAATTTTTTGAACTGTCAGTATATCATTTTTCACCAGGGATGGAATTTTTTTTGAAGGCTTAGGGAAAGGGTGAATTTTGCTCAAGGTTCTCTCATTTTATTATCGTAAGATTTATAGCATCACTGATCCCCTTATTTGGGCTGATCCAAAACCTTCCATCCTTCATCTACTCAGGGTGCAGAGCTCTCTTCCTCTAGTTTTTCATCTTTGACTCCAGAAGTTAGAAGACAAACAAACTTATAAACAGAATGTGAACTGTTTTTTGAAGGGATTAGTTTCTTCAGTGTGTACCATTAATTTAGAAAGTAAGGAATGTTTTAAAGAGACTTTGAGATTTCCGTAGTTCTACTCTACATCCTGGAATATAGTTTTCAATTTTAGGTCACTAACATATTTTTACTTGAATTTAACCAACTCATTTCCTGCCCTGTCAAACTCACTTTGTCTGCCTCAGTTCCCTGCTGCTGTAGACTCGAAGCTATTGCATTTTGGCTCCGATCCACCCATTCTGATGCTGAAACGAAGGCCCCGACTGAAGGAGACATTCCAGGAACAGTTTATCCTTCACTAGTTGATACTGATTCTCTAATGCAGGCATGTTTTTTTGGCTTTTTTCTATTCTTTTCTTTTGGCAATGCTGAGGGCAAATGTCTTCCCAGGCACTGTGAAGTTTCCCAGCAGTTTGCTTTCTTCTTGCTAGCTGAGGAACAATGGGAGATGGCCATACGGACTGAGAAGTGCTGTCACATGCACTGGCTCTTGAGCCCTGTACTTCAATACCTGGTGAGGTTGACTGGTGAGATCTCTCCAAGCCTGACCTTTTTCCTGGAGTACTGTTATTCCAGAATTCTTCATTCTGTGTATTGAATCACAAAATACCATTTTCTCTGACTACTGTGCACAAAAGCAGTTTTTCGTGCTCCGTGTCTTCTGGAATGTCTGTTTAAAGGGCAGAGGGCTTCAGTGCTGTCCATGCTTGCATCGCGCTTCTGTGCTGTTTATTTCATTACAAGTACCTAATTAGCGATGTTAAGTGCTAGTTCTCTGTGGTCAGTTTCACTACATCACTTATTTCACGCACAGGAAAAGCAGTAGATACAACTTAGTGACAGTCTGTTTATGACCACCAAAGGGAAGGTATAATCTTTAACTTGTGTCAAGGTTTAAATTACTGGGGGCAAAGTCTGGACAAACAATTCACGTCATTGCAAAAGGCTCTGCGTGACAGCATTTCTGGGGCTGTCTTTCTCAGTGTGTTCTACAGCTCCAGTCAGCAAATTGCATCTTGTCCAGCTGTTCAGGTTCATATCCTGGTTTTCTTCTGGCTCAGGATTTGTGCATGTTTCACATTTTCTGGATTGCTCTTTTGTCTTTGCCTTTTCTAGGCTTACACAACAGCAGAAATGGAGTTCTAGGAAGAACAGATCAAAAGGCACATTCATGTTTCTCCTACCCTTCCCTCTGGTCCACTCTCACTTCCCTCCCACCCCTTCCCAAATTCCATTAATATTTACAGGACATAAGCCAGTACTTAACATTATCCTAAAATTAAGAGGGTTTTTTTGTTTGTTTGTTTGTTTGTTTGTTTCTGGCTCTATCTGCAGCTAATGTGGAAGACAACAGAAGTTAGAAATGTACTTAAAAAAAAAAAACAAGAACAAAAAAATCCTGAGCTTTAATTTACACGGGCTCATTTTTACCGTTGTTTCTTCAAATTTTGTGGGGAAAAGTAATTCTTCAACTCACTGGTTCGTTTACAGGGTAAGCAGTAATATCAAGAAACCAAATGCAAAGATTTGCCAAATACAGTGCTGATAGTTAGATAGTGACTTGTGCTGATAGTTAGACACCAATAATTGATAAACTAAGCATTCGTAAGGAAGTATATAAATACACTTTTACCTTCAGTCCACCTGTTAAGTCATGTAGATACAGATTTCATAGGCAGACTGAGAAACTGAGAGGGGAATGGAGGGTAAAGAATTGAGATGTGCATTGTTCTACTTGACCCCCAAACTGGTTATTTTCTTTCATTTCTGTTCTTCAGAGCATCAAATGCGTTCTTAACCTTTACAAGTTAACTTAAAAAATCGAAAGCCAAAACCAAAAGAAAAATATTTCTGTTCTTCCAAATTGTTTTTATTTTAATGTTTTGTATGTCAGAAAGTATTTGCTGACTTCACTGTAGCCTACACATGCACTTATTCCTCTGTGACTCCTTTCCAGAGTGTTTCAAGCCCTGTTTTTTCCCAGGCCATGGGCAGAACTGATGGTGTCCGTTTCCAGTTTGCCTCGGGTTCTGGCTAGGGCTCACCTCAGGTAAGTGCCAGGAGGCACTTTAGGTAACTATGTGAAGCAATTGGATGATGTCCACCTTGTAAAGAGGCCAAGGGTTATTTCAGACCAGAGAAACAGATCTGCATTCTTTAAATGCAGAAGAGATGTAGAATGTTGTTCTTCATGTTCTGTGGAAGATGGTTTGGCAAAGCAACCTAGGAAAGCTTGCTCTGCAATACATTTGAAAAAATTGCGAGCTCATATTTTAGTGAAACACTCCAGTGCACCAAAGTATATGGTCACAGAAAAATGTATATTCTTCTTTCCATCTGGATTTATTTATTTTTCAATTTCTGATCTTCCAAGAAGACATCAGTACCCATTAACCTATCCTTCAGTCAAATTTGTATGTTTGGGTTTGTTTGTTTTTCAATAAGGGCTGTCTTATCCTCTGCTCTTTGACAGCGGAAGTGAGCTGTGTCACTCTTCTCATGAACCTATATTTTCCAGATAAATGGAAATGTAGGGTTGGTTTTTGTGTGCTATTGTTATTTTTCTGTTTCTTTCTCTGTGTATTTTTGTGGGTTTTTTTTTTTTTTTTTTCCAACGCTGAAACTGTTGGATTGCCTTTTTGTTTTACTGGGATAAGCATCCATGATGCTCTGGGGAACAGAGAATGATCTAAAATAAGCCTAGCTGTTTTCTGTTGTTTATCTGTTTCGTTTTGCATCTGTCTTAGTATTTATTGCAACCATCTGCATTTCATTTCAGGTTGTCTAATGTCGTCTTCTGCCTTTTCTGTGCCTTTCCTTTTTACATAGCCGTGGGCTGTAATATCACCATTTGCCTACAAGAGATCCATTTCTATCTGTAACAAAATGAATTGCATTCATCTGTGTAATTCATTTCTAATGAATGCCTCGCTCCTCATTAAACAGTGATTTACCTTTGTTTCCTTTTTCTGTGTTGTCAACTCTAACCATTTCAAGGTCCTGTGGAGAGATGCTAATGTGAGAAAGCAGAAGTCGATGCAACTAAACACTAAGAAATGTCATCCTCATTAGCACCTTCAAAAATATTCATGGGACACTTTCTGAAATACAGTTTGAAGGTGGATAAGAAGACTCCAAACGTTTTCTTATTCATAGACTTTCAGTGCACAAATACAACACTTCAGACTTTAAAGGCATCGCTCCTTGTCGAAGTCCTGCATGGGTAGCCAAGCTGGGAAATTTCTTTAGGCTTGGTTTGCTCTGCAAGAATTTCACAGGTCACAGACACATTTGGGGTGACTGTACTCTTGCTTCCCTGCCCCCTTTGCATCTTTTCAAAAATATTAACATGCTTCAAACATATTTTCAGGAAATACTTAATTTTGAGGTATTTTAGAATCTTTCATACTTGAAAATATTTTACTTAAATTTTTTGAGATTCAAAGATTTCAACATGTCCTGCAGCATCTCCTTTTCCTGCCTTTGCACGACTGCAGAATCTGCCATGCTAGCAAATAAATCTGTGCTGCTGATTGCTGGTACAAGTGCAGTACAGGATAAATAACCAAGTTTATTTTCACTTAAAGCCTCAGTAGAATCTGAACTGCAGCAACAGATAATGAATATGAAAATACTTTCGGTAAACTTAAAGTAATGCAGATGCTTTTAGGAAGTTGCCTTATTTACAGCATCTTTAACTCTTATTTAGTGATAGTACTACCTACTTGTTGACATTTCTGATGGTTCCAATAAACTTAGCTCGGCATTTTACAATACTTAAGCTTGGGTTTGGCCAGATTGATCTCCTGTTGAAACTCTAGCATCGTCAATGGCTATCAGTTGAGTTACACCATGCATTAATTTGAAGGGAATGGAGCATGGGAGATATTTTTTTCTTCTTTTTTTTTTTTTTTTTTTTAAACGAGTCTTACTGAAGTCATGTAGCATTTGGAAGTAAGAACACTGATTAATGTAACAAAATTTTACTTTCAATATACATTTTAGAGGACAAAACTGACCTTGAGAACAGTGTGATGCAGAAGAAAATTAAAATCCCCAAACTCTCTTTCAATCACGTAGAAGAAGCTGGGGAGGTTACAGATTATGGGGAAGAAGATGTGGAGCTTAGACACAGTAAGGTACTGAAGACTTTCCTTTTTTTTCTTTTGTTTTTTTTTTTGGGGGGGGGGAGGAAGTGCTTGGGGCATGTACAGACTTCATAGCTTAAGAATTCCAGTGCTGCTTTTGATCTCCTTAAAACATTGTGTTTATTGTAATTGGTTCAAATTAGGAGTGGAGGGGATATGGTATGGGTTTTCAAAAACCTGATTCATGTGCAATCAAACACTTTTCTGTTTATATGGTCGCACATGGCTTAATCACCATTTGAGGTTTTTGGAATGATGCTCTTTCACTTGGGTGCAGAATGCTTTAAAAGTGACCAGCTGTTCTCAGTGGCACTTATGACCTAATGCACTTTGCTTGTTTGGAATTGGAAGAGGTGCTCTGAGACTTCTCAAATACAGCAGTGCTTGAGAAGGCAAACTGACAAGGCAGCATCCCTACATTATAACTGCCAGTTGCCTTTTTAGGTCCAGATTGCAGAAGCCCACTATGTAACCATATTTATTTTTTGATATCAGATAATTTCTTTAAAAGCCTGCCAACCTTCAGAATAAAATAATGTTCTGTGGCTTCATGTGTTTTGCAGCTGCACGAATGATGCTAGCACATCTCTTTATGGTGGGCCAGCATTTTTTTTTTTTTTTAGAGCATGCGTGGAGCAGGCATAACATGAAGTAATCTCATTTTCTGCCACATTACTTGTGGATACTGTGGTATGGGAATTGATAGTGTCAGCTTCTTGTCTCTTGTCTATGAACTACATTTGCTTTCCTTGCAGTTGCTTGGAAGTTCAAATGCTTTTTCCATATTTGGCCAATAAAACATAGTAATTTTTACACGTACCGTTACATTTTAATACTGCTGTATGGGCCCCCAAAAACAGGTGTGCTTTAATTTATAGAGTTTGGATTTTATTTAGAAGACTGAAGGTGAATTTCTGTCAAGAGTTCAAAGGAGATGAAGCCTCTGCAATGTAGAACTAATAGTGAAACAATCAGTTGATCAGGGAAATGAGATAGATGATACGTTCTGTCTCCAACTCCAGTGTTTTCAATTCCCTTTCATTGTTTTCTGATAGTGTTAACATATTCACCCGTTGGGCTAATGTAGCAGGGGAAAAGTCAGAAGGCTTTGTCTCCTCGTGTGTGGGAAGGACAAGCCCTCAATGCAAACAGCAGCTTTGTGTGGTGTGCTCCTTTGATCTCTGATGTCATCACAGGTGACAAACATAATTGATTGTCTCTCTTACCTACCAGAAAAGCCATTGTTGTAGGAAATCTAGATGTTAAGCATGAACTTGAATGGAAAAGAGCACTAGATCCAGTGTTATTTTTTTAATAAATTAGCTTTGTATATGGAATGGAGTGACCTATTAACACAGTCAGTTTGCAGTTGTTGCACAAATGCAGAAAGAAAGACCTGAAAGAAAGACATCTGTATTTCAGAAGCTTGTATATGCATTTTGCTGAATTACACCTGCATGGTAGCTACAGCATGTGTCTTCATAAGAATTTGATAGGCAAAACATTTTTGCAGGCAGACTTTTTTTTTTTTTTTGCATTTTTTTAATAAGTAAAAGAATATTAACAGTCCACAAATCCGTAGAATTTTAATTTATATTAAACCTTACTATACTTCTAATTATTATTATTTTTATTGTAACATTCAGAGGCAAGATGGAAGGAAACAAAGTGAAGGTACACACAAAAGCATCGAAGCAGTTGTTGCTCGCCTTGAAAAACAAAATGGGATGAGTCTCAGTAATACTTCCAGCCCTGAGGAGGCTTTCATGGAGGCTTCAGAAGGGATGAACAACATGGACGATGCTGTAGTCCCTCGGATTCTGTATGAAGAATTGCTGAGGAGTTACCAACAGCAACAAGAAGAAATGAGACACATTCAACAGGAGCTTGAAAGAACACGGAGGCAGCTTGTGCAACAAGCAAAGAAGCTAAAGGAATATGGGGCACTCGTGTCAGAAATGAAAGAGCTCAGAGACTTGAACAGGAGACTCCAGGATGTACTGCTTCTAAGACTAGGTAGTGGTAAGTGCCGGACTTAAATGGGACAAGTTTTAATGAATTTTGCAAATGTGATCAATAGTATGGAAACGTTTTTGAAGAATAGCAGTGGTTGTTAAACTGGACATTGAATGTTAAAAGGGTTTTCTGCTATGGCTGTACAATATACGTCGAATTTGTATGATATGTATGTCTGGGTTTTTCTTTAATGGTAGTAGAGGTCTTTGTGCTAGTTTGGCTGAATCAGAGTTTCGTTTTAAGCAGCTGTATTTTAACAGGTCTTTCAACTTCCAGTATATGCTGAAAAAGACAATAAAGTTTAATCTGCAAAATATACCAATATGTTCCAGTTTTAAAAAGAAAAAAAGAAGAAAGAAAAGGCAGTGCAATGAAAATTTGGGCAAAACCTATTTTACTTCTTTCAGTCAGGGTTTTTTGTTATGTAAGTGACTGTTACCTCCCATTTTCTGCCCCCTGCTTCCCGTCAGTAGCACACTGGAATGTGGAATACACCTGAACTTCTTGGCAGTGGCTTTAAACAGCCATGCTGTTTAAAAAATAATGGCTTGTTAAAGACTAATTAAGAGAAACTTTCTATATTAGCGTCCCGTTATCAGCATGTGTTACAAAATGCAGGTTTGTGTAATTTGGATTTAAATTTTAAATATCTTGAGTAATTGCTAAATTGTTTTGGTTTATAACAATTATTTAATCATTATGTTGGAATAAATGGGAAAAAAGACAAAATAAAAAGCTCATCCTTTTCATTGAAGATGATACCCTTGGAATACCTTCAAATATTTTACTGAATTATATTTATTTGCTAATAGAATGTGAAACTGTTGTGTTGAAGATTCGCTTGGTGACTGAAACTTGGTTAAAATTTACGCATCCAGACTTAGCATGCTGTGTCTTATGTCTGCCTTTGTGTATCTGGAAAATTAATTTTTGCATGTTAGTTGGATATTGGCTCTTCTACTTGAACGAATGCATGCAGTTTGCATGGAGATCCATTCACGTACGAACCTGAACCTGATAGAGCATGTGCCTGTCCTGTAGCATGTGTTAAGGTGTGCTGGCAGATTTGGACTCAGGTTTTCGAGGCTGAAGAGTTAAACTGGGTGTTTGGGTGTGAACGCTCATTGTTGTTATGCTCTGCATAATTAAAATGCCATTACTTATTATAAAAATAATAGTTAACTTTTAAAATAAAACAGGCAAGATTTCCACAATCTGAAAAAACACAATGTGGTTGGCAGTAGATTCTACTGAGCTTTCGAAAAATTTTCCTTGGATGGAGAGATGTTTCTTCATCTGCAAATAGTTAGCTGGAATTTATGTGAATGGAACATCAACCAGATGTTTGTAGGCAATGGGGCTAAACAGCATCAAATACCAATTTAGTTGGTAGACTTGACAACAGTTTGAGTGGTGAGACCAGCAGTGGAATGGAGACAGCTTCTGAATTCTGTCTCGTTTCTTTCACTCTAAGAAAGGGGGCTGCTTTTTTTCACTTGAGCCACGTTAAGAAAGCTTAGAAGAAAAAGGAAAAAAAAAAAAAAAAAAAAAAAAAAGAAAAAAAAAAGAAAAACTTTTGAAAAAAGGCTGAAAAAGAAACGGAATCTTCACTCCATTGGACCCTCTATTGGACCTGTTATCAGTATGTCCTCTGCTACATAATAGAAAATACATCTTGAATACATTGAAAACAAGTTAATTGTATGCCTGGACAAATACTAATTATGAATAACTTCCAGAAATCCTTTATAATAATTAGTTGTAACATTAAAACATTCTGGAGGTGGGTTCTCTCCTGGATCCCTTTGGAACTTTTCATGGATGACAAAGGTAGAATTTGGCCCATTGGGCTGTATTGTGTGTGTGTCATGTGTGTTATGTGTGTATTGTGTGTGCTGTGTGTACTTGTATACTAACTGCTGCTAACTGTTGCCTTTCATTGTAGCCTCTCTCACAGAGAAAAAAACAAGTTCTAGAAAGATTAGAAAGAGAGATCTTCAGCAACTTATAAATTAGAGAGTCTGATGATACTATGAAAAAGTGCTGTTTTTAATCAGGAAAAAAAAAATCTTTATGTATGTATTTCTTTACTTTCCAGTCTTGCAAATGGAGTATGTCTGAGTATGTGAAGAATCTCTGAAAACGGTTCAGAAAATAGGTTACATCCTGAATCTATCTTTGGTTGTTGTGGTGATCTCCTAAACTGAGAGTTTCAAATGACATGTCATTTAAGTTAAGCTTTACCTCTAGCAGGCTGAACTTAATGCAAACTAATTGCATTTCTCTTTCACCATAGAGACTTCTGATTTGCTTGCATGGGATGACAGCTGTTTTGTGTTGATGAATTGCAGCTGTGGGAAACACGTTCTTGTTGCCATTTTAAACTTGCAGATCAAATATAGAACACCCTCTTGAGTTAACATTCAGTCAAGTATTCAGTCTCTTAATTTCCTGTCAATATGCTGATTTCAGTGTGAATTAAGAAGTCAGTATATTCTGCTCCAGACATAGGCCTTCGTCTCTGCTACGAAATCCTGAGCTGCTGCTGTGGGAGGAGCAGGATTCTCAGTGTTTCACATGGGGACAGCAGAACCTGAGGGCAGTTGTGGCCAACAGCAGTAGTGAAATCACTACTGATCCATGGATAATAACAGAAAGTTTTCTGTCATTTCAATATGGATCACTTCCTGGAAGATACAAGAGTTTGACCAGAGTTCTAGGGCTCAAGGCTGTGTGGGAAGAGGGTGATGATAGTGGAAGCAGTTACAGTATCCTATGCTCATGTTCCCTGAAGTGTGTACATGGCCAGAGCCTCTCTGCACTTGCCTACTGTGATGTCAGGAAGCCTTGTAGCTTGTCTTTGCTCTGTTGCATCTAAAAATACCCTAATTTGCCCTGGTTTTATTAAGAGAGAGTGAGGTGACTTTGAAAATCAATGGCTTTTCCCTATTTTCCTTACTTTCAGTAGATACAAAAGATGAGAAGTTCAGGAACTTTTTCTGAAAGTAAGTGTCCACAGATTAAGATATGGATAGTTTGCTGTGATTGTATATGACCAGAGGTAGTGAAGTTGTATCAGGGATGCTGTTTGGATGTAAATACCTTTCAGACACGCATGTTGCACTGCTAGGAGTTAATGTTCCTCTAGTGCCTAAAAGTGTATCCACCTCAATTCGCTCACAAAGAGCTTATTTTAACTGTGCTCTTTGTGGTGATGCAGTTTACAGGGTCATGGGACTGACAGCAGGATAGGCAGAATGACCAAGTATTTGTGCATCTTAGCATACACTTAAGGAATTACTACTGTCCAGCTTCTCTTTATCTGTTTGGCTTTTCGATGAAAAAAAATCCAGCATTTCTAGCAAGCTGGAGTGCAGGAAATCACATATGTAAAGCATGATCATCTCTCAGACTCCTGCTGTTTTCACTGAAATCCTAGTAGACCGTGTTAGCTCAGGAGGTGTTTGAAGAGAAGCCTTCTGCCTCTTCATAGCGCATTTGCAGTTGAGGGCCTCTCGGATAGTAAGGAAACTTTACAATCAGAAAGATTTTTTTGAAGAAAGCATTTGTTTCCTCGTTGTGTCTTGACGAATTGTCTTTATTTTTTCACGATCCATACGTAATAAGTACTATTGTTATTCATCTTTTAGATGGCAGCATTTTTTAATACGTATGTATCCCTGTCCATTGCTCTTTTTAGAATAAGATGCAGAGCACAAGAGCTACAGACATAGAACTTTTTAAAGTATGGTGCATGATAAATTAGGCACACAACACCCACTGGTATGAAGGTAACAATGCAAGTTGCATGTCTAACTCACAATGTGTGGAGCTGAAAATGCACTCTTTAGTACTTATTGAAAGAAACTGGGCAGACTACCTACTTAGAGACAGATTTCTGTTTGAGAAGAAGAACCAGTGGAGTATGAAAGAAGACATTTTCAAGGCTTTCTGTAGGTGATTTCAGCAGCAAAGCATGAATTCAATTAGAGATCTTTCTGACCTGTTAGAGCTATGGTTACTGGGGACTTCAGTCAGCTATTTTTCTTGGGGGATTCTGGAAACCAGATCCCAGCTGTGTCAATATATTACTGTAAACGTGCAGTAAAAGACTTCTAAGTAGCGAACACTAGAAGTGTTTAGATGAGATAAATGTTTCCTTCTAGTAAGAAAGTGATTATACTTAGGTATCTTCCTCGAAGCAGTTTTCTTAGTATAAGAATAATACATTTGAAGAAAGCTCAAAATAGCACTTTGTTGAAGAGTGTTTTCTTAAAAAGCCAAAAGTTCACTTCTCCATGTTAAGTTCACGTGGCAATTACATCCCTGCATCTGCCAGCACGAAGATCTATGCAAAAACTCCGGATGGTTCAATCAATCAAGAATTTTCCCCAATTTGACTTATTTTAACACTTTCAAGTGTTGAAGCTTCAGTTTGTTTCAGTCTCACCATGGTATACGCATGATAGTTCAAGTGCTTATGAAAATGACTGTGGAATTGTAATGCAAATGTTATGTTTTTGTGATTTCTCTCTTTGTGCCATGCTTGCATTGCATATGGCTCTTAAGACACTATTGGTGGCACTGCTGTGTAGTTGTGCAAGTCAACTTGTTTTTGGATGAGTTCTTGTTGCTGAGCATTGACTGGCAGTCATCTGAGAACAGCTAGCTAGCTGTGTAGGTACAGAATAAGCTATAGGATAAAGGTCAAATACTGGCAGTTGGGGAAATGCTGATATGACCATGTGATAATCTATAAATGAAACTGCACAAAGTGGGAGAAATGACTACGTTGGGTGTTCCAGTGCAGGAATTGTTTAAGGAAAGTGACCTGAAAGCTCTTGTTCTGAGCTGACTTGCAGCCATAGATCAGTTCAGACTTTGGTCTGCGTACAAGCACTGAGGGATGCTGGTCCATAATGGTGATATGCTTATTGAATTGTCATTTATTGAATCTGTGCAATATCTGATACGCTGTAGCTCTTACAAGTAGGTGAGTTTATCCTTGTAGTTCTTGAAGGGGGTGATGGCTGTAGTCGGGGCTCTGCGCTGGCAGCTGTGCTGTTAACAAACCACTCTCTCTGCATGGGACCTCTGTGGCTGCTGGAGCTTCTCAAGAGCTTAAGAGGCATCGAGAAACCTGGATAGGCTGCATAGCCTGTTCCTAGATCTCTGGTTTAACTGTTGCCATGAATGGGATAATAAAATCCAGTTCACACATTCTTTTTATTCTTCTGCCTTTTTAGGAGCACTTGATCAATTTGACCAGGAAAAGAAAAGATGATGACTGACAATATAATTATCCTCCTTTGAAACCTCAAAAAAACAATGATTAACATTATTCTATTACTTAATTTGTGCTTAATATTTGTTGATTGGTTTAAAAATAAAAATTGGAGTGGTGGATGGATTTGGATGGATTGGAGAATCAAAATTCTAATTTATGGTTTTATTTTGTTTTTAACTTTGAATAATCTTTCTTTGCATGATACTTCAGCAAAAGTAGCCTAAGCCTTTTTCCTTCGTGACATTTTTGTAGATGCTTAGAAATATCTAAAGAGTTTTCAAATTTCTATTAAATATAAGTTATCCATATAATGTTAGGTATAATTATCTCAGTAAATTATGGAGGTTTCTACATAACTATATAGTAATTCTTATTTAGTGAATTACTATTGTGTCTTTTGATTTATAAATTCACTACCACTGCAGCAAAATACCCGTGATGTGCACTGAAACAACCTTATCCACATCTGTAAAAGTTCTTATGTGTTAAGAATAAAATTCAACACTTAAATTTAAATTGAATATTTTAATCTTTATAAGACAGAGTTACTTACCCTGCTCTTGCTTACTGATGTTCACAGGATTTTGGTTTGGGCTCTTTCTAACTTTACTGTGAACTTGACCACTGTGATATTTTATGCTAACCATGGGTGATGAAGTGATTGATGCAATGTTCTCTGGGATAGCAGACAGCTCTCTTTTCTTAACTGTCTAGGACCTGCCATTGAGCTTGAAAAAGTAAAACCAGAAACAATTGAGCCTGAACCTGAGGTACAGAAGACCTTCAGTGAGGAAGCAAATACATCAACGTATTTTCCTGCCCCTGTTCCAGTAATGGACAAGTATATTCTCGAGAATGGAAAGGTATTTTAAATTAAATTAAATGTGGCATGAATAGTTTGTAAATGTCCTTCAGGTGTTTTTTTTCTTGTGGAGTTTTCATAATCCTGGGGATTGTGCATGATACCAGCTTATACAAACTTCCCTTGTTTTTGCAAAGGTGTGCTGTTAATGCTGAGGAAAATGATGGAATTATGCAAATGTGAACAGCACTGAAAATTATGCTCAGTGTTGAAAGCATAGAATGCTGTATAACACAAGGAATAAAATTAATGTGCATGCATGGAGTATTCAGTTGATGACATACGTAAATCCACTGAATACGCAGCAGTCAGTGACGCACATTATAAAGTTACATTAGTCTGTTTAACAAAAATACCTTTTTTCTTAGAAGGTCTTTAATGTTTTTAGTGTGCTATACTCATATTGCAGAGAAACCTTCATGCTTTGGTTGGAGTCCAGCAGATAATTATGAACCCTGGAATGAAAATGGGCTCCCCTGAATATGGTAGGAGCGTTGCCTTTGAGATGAGCTGAGATAGTTCTGCTTTCCAGATGTTTTTATGAAGTTGGTGAAATGCAGTCTAGCTGCAGTATGCCAGCACCTGACTGATAGTTTTTCAGACTCCAGTATGTTTAATCCATTGTCTGCTTATCCACAGAGGCCTGCTTTTATAGCTGTTGCCATTATGATTAAATTAACGTGATATTTCTTTTACAAAACCATATGTCCTTAAGCATTGCCTGTGCAGATCCATTCTCTTAGGATATGTATGCATTCAGTTCCACAATTTGAGAACCCTTTAGGAGGAAGTGTCCATTTCAGCCTTCACATGGAGTAGAATTTAGTAATGGAGTAACATCACATGCTACATTTTCAGATCTGTGTTACAACATTGACTGCAAAAGTGCCTGTCTTTCTTAAAGATGATTCAACATAATTGTTGGGGACAAAACGTATGTGAAAAATGGTGTAATTTTGGCAGTTTGACAGTCATTTTCTTCAGGTAGCTTTTCTTGCCTAATACACGTATTTAACATGTGTCATTTGCTTTTTTTTTTTTTTTTTTGTATGTGCATAATATTGGCAATGAAAACTTACAACATATCAGTGTGACAGTTTAGTTTACTTTTTCTCTCTGTAAGGTTTGCAAGCAAGGTATGTCCTTTAGTATTTGTATGCAACTTTTTCTGCACCTTTATTCCATCTGCCAGCCTCTTGGCGCTTACAAGTTTTCTGTCTTTACAGATCTCTTACTTTATTTTATTTTTTGTATTTTTGGAGTATTTTTAATTTTTTCTTATTTTTGGGGGTGCTTCAGCCAGTTCAGATGCCAGAAATATAAACTAGTAATTTATTTAGTGTTGGATAGCATTTTTTCCCCCCATTTTCCTGATTTGTGTCCTTTCTTTTTTTTTCTTTCCATTATTTCTGTATTGATGTACATTTCTAGAGTAGTGGGAAATACTTTTTTAGAAATCTTACCCCTTTGTGGCATTGTGTTTGATCTTAGCAGGATTCTTTCCATGCAGATAAATCTCTCTCCTCCAGAGGGACAGCAGAGTTACTGAACAAGAGCCTATGGTGTTCATTGGAGAGGGGAAAAAAAAGTCCATCTTCTGAGATACATTTTAAATATATTGCACTTGTTAGCACAGTTACAATGGTGAGCGTTACTTTGAATTTGCTGCTCTTCTTGTTGCACTGGGCTTAAAGGTTGATCCTGCTGTTGCTGAAGTCAGGGGCAAAGTTCCCATTGATTTCATTAAGCCAAGGGACTGGCCCATGGGGCACCTCTTCCAGCAAGAAGGTAGTGAATTCTGAATTGATACAGTAAGCTTCCCATGACTTTGAGAGTAATAGGAAACAGTACCAAGCCTGTTCTAGAGGGGTAAACTGAGACGTGGACAGATTAAATTTCTTGCTGTGACACTGCTAGAAATAGAAAAAGAAAGACATAAGATTTCTGTGGCTGTGGCTGTCTGTCACGTTGTTCCTGTTACCACAGGGGTTTCATATCAGGAATCATTATTTTTTAATAAATGAAGGACATTCAAAGAAGAAGTGATCTGTCAGAACCATAAACATAAAAAATATTTGCTGTAACTTTGTTTTATTTTAAATAACTTAAAATTAATGAACAAATAAAAGATTAAACAATTTCTAGCAGGAAGGAATCCGATTTTTGATCAAATAGGGGACACTCTCTAGAACTTAGTTAATATAGCAACCCAAAATCTCACATCGCGACATTCCATATCTCAGTTATAAGTAGCTGTTGTGTTCATTTTTACTGGTAACTTTTTGTGATTAAAACAAAAATAGCCAATTTATACCTGTAGAGTGACTTTCCTGTGCACAGGCTGCTCACTCTGAATGAAGGTGTCTCACAAAACATATACAAAGCACAACAAAACTTTGAATTATCTCAAAGAATTACAAAGAGTCTCAACAACAGCGAATGAAAGAAAGAAAAGGTGTTCATGTTGTGCTTATTACTAGTTCCATTTCTGTCTATTATGAAGTGTAAATAAAATGTGGACTTATGAAAAGCTTCTTAGAATCCTCTTAGTATAGCAATTCCTCCAGTAGAGGCAGCTTGCCTTATGGTTTTATACTTCTTTTTTTTTTTTTCTTTTCTTTTTTACCAAGTAGCTGGTAGCCAAACCATTCTATTTTCCTGTTTAAGGTTTTATACAAGTACTTACTCTTGAAAGATGCTGTAATAAAATATTTCTTCAGGCTATAGCCCACAATAATAATTAAGGCAGGCTTCCTTTTAAAGGAAAATGGAAGTTCGCTTGAATTTGCTTGAATGTGGGCTGTAAAATTATGGCTATATAAAATTTTACAGTAGCTTTGTCCAATGTTCAGTGAATTTAATGGGACTTATGTGATATTCTTCAGATCCATATGGGTAACAGACACAGTTTATGTAACACCATATGAAAGAAGTAAAAATCTGAAAAACTAAGAAGAAAACAGCTAAGCCCAACAAATTCTCCTAATAAAGGAGAGAGTTATGTTCACAGGATTATTTTTTTTTATTGATGAGGAGGCAGTAAGCTTTATTAAGGTTTTCGTGTTACAGAGAGAGCCTCCACTTAATCAGATTTTAAACCTGAATTTTGGATGTAACAGTCTGGTCGATACATATTTTTGGTATTTTCCACTTTTACAGAATTTTCTGAAAGCAAGTTCTATCTTGTTTTCCAGTGCAGCGAGTTCTATCAGTGATTGGAATAGCTCAGTCATGCACTGCCCTGTCATGGGTACTGAGCAAGTGCGGGCCCAGCAGGGTGAAGTTAATCAGCATGTGAACAAGGCTTTCTGTGTGCAGAGGCTTTACAGGTGTCTGCACTGTATTCCAGGGATCAGGAGCATAGACAGATGCAGGACAAATATTAACTGTGGTTCTGCTGCACAGGGCCAGCATTTGGATCCAGTTGGATTTACTTGTTGCACTTGTGTCAGATCCCTGCTGATTATGGTAGAGTCATTTTCCTTGTTGTTGTTTGACAGAGCCTGGTTATCAGGGGGCTTATCAGCTCAAATGTGCACAGTGCCAGCCTAAGGACGGTGCTCAAGTTCTTGTCCTGCATTTGTCTTAAGTCTGAAGCACTGAGAACATTTAGGAAGGGATGCTGGGTAGCCCTGTGGGAGTCAGCCCAGCATATTCAGCGCTGAGCAAGACTACGAAGCACAACTACACTCAAGCAGATTTGTGTTGGAGACTATAGTGGCTTTATGCTGCATTTCTCAGTACCTGCATTATCATCCCTTTTTACTACTCTAAAGCAATATCTTTACTCCCTGTATCTGGATAATGGAAAGTTTATGATGTTGCAGCAGTGGGTCATTGCCTTACCACAAAGCAGTATTTACCTGGATAGACTGTTCAGGCTAAGTAGACTTTATTATTATAGAGTTTGATTTCTACAGCACTTACGAAGTTTCTTGGCTTATGCTGAAATTGAAACTCTCAAAATCACTTTTGCTCATCAAGTTACTTGAAACAATCAAGCTCAGTCCGGCCAGCAGGAGCAGGATATGGCTTAGGAGGTATTCCCTTCTCTGCTACCTCCCTTCTCTACTGCTCCAGGTCTTTTTCAGCCAAAGGGAAAGGGAAGTTTTCATGTTAAAGAAAATGTTTTATTTTGCTCCTAAATTAGGCTGGTGCTTGGTTTATATGCTGTGCATACCTTTATAATAATACTGGATATATTTCCTGTTTCCTTCTTGTATCTATTCCTAACCGTAGTCTTGGGAGGTAGGCTATGGGTGGGCAGAAATCAAATTTAAAAGGTAGGGTAAGAAGAATTGAGGAAAAGAAGAGTCCCCACAAAGCTGGAGAAGTTTCAGTATTAGGCAAAATGGATTTTTTTCAACCCTAATTACTGTTATTGTAGTACCTAATATTAATGTTCAAACAGCACTTGGAGACTGTTGTGTGCTACGTACCATAGATAAGCTGTTATTATTACTACCTTCTAGGTCCATCTTGGCAGTGGAATTTGGGTAGATGAGGAGAAATGGCACCAGCTGCAAGTAACACAAGGAGATTCAAAGTATACAAAAAATCTAGCGGTTATGATTTGGGGAACAGATGTTCTCAAGAACAGAAGTGTCACAGGAGTTGCAACCAAAAAAAAGAAAGATGCCGTTCCCAAGCCACCTCTCTCACCTCACAAATTAAGCATTGTCAGAGGTAGGTTATTTGAAAACTTTTGCTTCCTGCTTTGAAGTTTAACCATTAATCACTGAGTTGAAAGATGCTTCTTCTCAGCTCATGTAAAATTAACTGATTAAAAACTGTAATTAAAATTGCTATTGCATTGTTAATGCATACATATCCAGGAAAAATCAGATACATTGCAATAGCTGTGCACAGCGCAGTCCTTCACAGTCGAAGAGTTGTATGTTGACTTCAGTAAGGTTCTAGAAGATCATCATTCTGAACCACTTCCAGGACAGGACTCTTGAGCTTGGAGAATACCACATGATTCTGGAATTTGTTTGTAACCTAACAATCTTTCTAAATGCACTTATTGCTTTTAACAAGCCTGAGAGTAGCTTTACCACATTCTTCCATCCAGAATGTAACCAACTCTGACATGAGGCACAGAAACAGTTATAGCTGTCTGTAAAAATATGCATGCCTTCAGAGCTGAGAAATAATAGTTTTACCCTTTTAAGTGGAGAAAATGTAAATAGTAAAAATTAAATGTTGCACTTGAATTGGAATTTGAACAGGAAGTGTAAATCATTGGCAGGAAAAAATTGCAGTGACACTTTCAGTAACTGCAAGCCAGAGTCTATGCATTTAGTACTTGGAGATAGAGCAGGCCTTCTCCTTTATTTAAAATGAATAGTGAATTTCAGTCCCTTTGTATCATCATGCTTGTGTTTCGCATTCATTTCTGTCTCTCTTGGTATTTCTTCTTTTTAAGTTACAACTGAGGCAGTTCCTTGTGGAATACCTAGCAAAATTGGATTTTGGTTTTGTGTCCAGACTAAATTGCAGTAGGGCTGAAAGCAATCTCCCTATTGAAGTTTCTTCTGCAATTTGATTGAGCTTCGTTATTCTGTATTTCCTGTTCTTAGCCACTGTGTGCTCTTAACTGTGAACTGTCTTATGAGCGGTTGTAATGTGCCTTGCAAGTACCACTTTTTGGAACTAAGAAATACTATTCCTCTTCGAGTGTGTGCGTGTCTGTGTCTTTGTGTTGTGGGGAAAAGTTGGAAGCTGGTATTCCTGCTGTTGCCTTTCTTATTCCATAAGAAATGACTAAAAGATGGTTTTTTTGGTTTTTTTTTTTGTTTTTTTTTTTCATGAACTTATCTTGAGAATAAATATAGAAATGCAAGCTGTTCCATACCGATTTTCCACTTCTGATCGGGACTTTTTGGTACAATCCTAACATACAGTGATGACATACTGACTGTGTAAGGAGTCACAGAATCACAGAATCACCTGGGTTGGAAGGGACCTCAAGGATCATGTAGTTCCAACCCCCCTGCCTAGCAGGGCCACCAAACACACACATTCAGATCAGGTTGCCCAGGACCCCGTCCAACCTGGCCTTAAACACATCCAAGGACGGGGCATCCACAACCTCCCTGGGCAGCCCGTTCCAGGGCCTAATCACTCTCCTTGTATAGAACTTCCCCCTAACATCCAACCTAAATCTTCCCTCCTTCAACTTGGATCCATTTCCCCTAGTCCTGCTGTTGTCAGCCCTTTTGAAGAGTTTACTCCCCTCGTGGGTGTAGGTTCCCTTCAGGTATTGATAGGCTGCAATGAGGTCACCACGCAGCCTTCTCTTCTCCAGGCTGAACAAGCCCAACTCCCTCAGCCTGTCCTCATAGGGGAGGTGCTCCAGCCCCCTGATCATCTTAGTCGCCCTCCTCTGGACCCTTTCCAAAATCTCAATGTCTTTCTTGTACTGAGGGCTCCACACCTGGACACAGTACTCCAGATGGGGCCTCACAAGAGCCGAGTAGAGAGGGACAATCACCTCCCTGTCCACTCTGTGGCTTGTCTGCTCCTAAAAAAGAATTAGTTGCCCAGTTTACAGATGTGCAAACCTGCAGTAAAAAGGGATTATTGTTCATTGCAGTGAGCCTTCTAGTTTCTTAGCTGAAGGCTGTTGCTTCTCATTGCTGCTGGCAAGGTTACTTATGTGAGAATTTGCTCTTCTACTTCAGTCAGGGCCAGTCTGTGTTGCTTACACTATTTAAATGATAACTTTCTCCTAACTTGTTTTGATTAGTGATTTTGGAAGCGCACTCTGACAGATAAATGGTGAGAGGCAGATTGAGCTCTTCCTTTTGTGCTCTTCCTTAACTTCATGCTCCCCAGCAATTCAGCTCTTCCCCATCTCCTCAGTTTTCTGTGTTTTTTGTCAAACTTTGGCTTCCTGCCTCCACCATCACTTGAATTCTACTGTTTACTCACTGATTTTCCATGTTTTTCTTTCCAGTGTTTCCTTCACCTTGTCTGTAACTCTTTTTTTGTTGGTCTAGAGACTGCACGATTTTCTCTTCAGCCACTTAAACTGCATGGCCAATACTTTCAGGTGGCAGCAGGCAGTGCATAAACATGTTTTTCCACATTTCCGTGTCCTTTTCATTTGTGTTAATATTTGAGATCTTGCCCCATTAAATTAACAGTGACTCCCAGAAAGCTGGAAATATGAGAAATTGTTATGTAATGGCGAAATAGAGAAGAAAAAAAAAAAGAAGAGTAACAGTTGGACGAGTGCAGGAATGCAGGGAAGGTAGTTGGCCACTGGCTTTGTTCAGGTATCACAGAAAGATATAAAGTTCCTTGTTAGACTTCAGTTTGAGTAGACCTTTGAGTTCAGGTCTACCTAACTCTTTGGTTATGTCAGAAATAAGAAGGTGTGTGTACTTCTCTAAAGTCAAAAGGCAAAGAAGCAGCAGAACCCTTGAATCAATTTTTGGAGCCCCTGAGCCACCATCTAAACTACTAAACTGCTGTTTCTGCAGCCTCTCAGAAATGGAAGAGAAAGAAGATGAAGAACTGTGACAATCCATAGTCATGGATTGCCTGGGTCGTACTGACTTTAAGAACCAAAGCTGATGTATTAGTTCTGTCAAGTAATTCTTTTTTGTGGCTGTAGCTGGTGTTGTACTGGAAGTTCACCATACTAGGTGCATCTGCTGCAACCTTTTGGGCCACATTTACGAGGTTGCAGCAATACGAGTTCGTCCTGTAAGCGTGCTGGGTTTCTTCGGGTTCTCAGTGAAATGCCTCTTCCTAGGCGTCATCTTCAAATCATAGTTTCCTTATGATTGGCATTTCAGCTATTGGGTTTCATGCTGGTTAATTTTATTTTATATTCAGTGTAAATCTTACAACTTAAAATTCATATTGTTTTGGATGCTCTGATCATTCTGTGGACACAGAGTAGTATATTTAAAATGGATGTCTGAGTAACAAACAGCATTAGCTCTTAATGAGTCTGGTATCCCAGGCTTCTTTAAAAATTTTCTACTGTGCGGTACGTAACAAAGAAATTATTAAAAGTATGATGCATGAGCACTGCTATAAACCTTGTTAACATGAAATAGCCTTTTATAAAACTTCTGAGAGGTTTCAAAGTGAACTACAAAGCATGCATAGTACTTAATTTTCATAACTTTTTAATGTAATGCATTATAAATGTTATAAACCATGTTAATTAAGTGATAATCTCTATGGCTTTCTGTATATAAAGCAATAAACGGACACTGGAATAGGCAAAGCAGAGCTGAGTTTGTTTAATCAGTCTGGGAAGCTGTTTATTGCTAGTAGCCTACTCAACAAAACACATTGTTCAGGTTATGAAAACAAAAAGAAAAGCTTGCCTGTGTCTAAGGAGTTGGGTGTGTTGTGTCAGCTTCAGTAACTTGTGCTGAGTCCTGGTACTGAACTGCCAACACCATGAGCGGGGTTGTCTCTACTCTCGTTGTCTTCACTGCTTTGCAGTTATTACTGTTGCTTGCTTTCTGTGTAACAGTTGAGAACACGAAATGCATTGTGCAAACCTATAAGAACATAGCCTCTTTTCCTGGCTAATCTACTAATAAAAGCAAAGTATGCCCCAAGACAGGGCACATCATGAAGGTGCAGATGCTAATATATGATGTACAGATTTAAAAAAAAATAATAATAATAATTAAAAGATCAATGGATGCCTTATCCTACTGGTTACTGCTTCTCTTTCTAACCATTATAATTTACTGAATGTTTTGAAGATGCGATGATAGAAGTGACAGGAAACTGTAAATAACAGTTGTGAAACCATTCATGTGGGAGAAGATACAAAATCTACTCTGGAGACATGAAAAAATACCAGAGTTAGGTGGGCAAGACTGACAAGGAAGGTTGGAATTAGCCCTGTTTCTGTATAGAAAGCCTCTTAATGCTGTCATGGTGTAACTAGAAGGTTGTCATGCCAAAGATTCAATCCTGGTGAAAAAAATCTTTAACAAAATAGCCAGTGAATCAATGAGAGCTTCTGTTGTTTTGCAACAAATACTCTATGGTGATGTCTCTTGAGCAGTTAGCCCCAAACAGGGCTATATTCTCTTCTAAAAATAGACTAATGACGCTTTCCTTTTTTTTTTTCTTTTCTCCCCAGAATGTTTGTATGATAGAATAGCACAAGAAACTGTGGATGAAACTGAAATTGCACAGAGACTCTCCAAAGTCAACAAGTACATCTGTGAAAAAATCATGGATATCAATAAGTCATGTAAAAATGAAGAAAGGAGGGAAAGTGCAAAGTTCAATTTGCAATAAATTTTGGATTTTTAATAAAATATTAGTGTTTTACATAAGTGTCGTTTTTTATTATTACTTGTGTGGCATTTTTGCTGATGGGAGAAGCTGCCCTGAGATGTTACTTTCATTCTATAACGGATTCATTTTTTGAGCTGTTCTGTCAGCCTTACGATAGTGCAGTCTGTTTTTAAGTCATGTCATATCGATTGTAAGTCCATTCACAATGAAGCAGTGAATTGTCAGAGGTTTTCCAACCAGTTGCAGTGGGATACCCACACTTCTTTGTATAGGCTGTAATCCTACAAATACAAACCCATCTTGCACATATTTTGTTTTATTGGAGTTCGTGCATCTAGGCTGCAGGAAAAATCTGTTCAAAAGGAAGAACTCCATAAAATTCACTTTGCTATAGAAAAGGATCTTATTGTATTTTACAACGTGTTTTTCTGAACTGAAATTTTAAGCGCTTGTTTTTATAAATATTTGGTCAAAAACACAGGAAGAATGCTGCTTTCTCACTTCGTATCACATAGTCAGAGCACTATTGCCAATGTAATTTAAAAAAAAAAAATCCAAAGTTGTTAAATCATGGTAATTTATTTTTTAAAAATATGTAAATATATACTCATATATATATATGTATATATATATAAAAGCCGTTCTTTTTCAGGAACCAAGGAGCCTTTCAGATTTCTGGTTTTGGTACAAAGCTCTCAAGTATGTCCATGTTATTGTTCTTGATACGACATTTGTATTTTCAGAAGATTTTTTAAATGGCTACACTATGGCAAGATTCTGTATAATAGAAAATCTAATGCCATTTCCCTGTGAGTCTGTAATTTAACCAAGTTATTTTAGCACAAATTTGAATTAGAAATAAATATACATTTTTAACCCTGAAGTTAGTCTTGCACCACAAAGATATGAGACGTAATTTGTTGTGTGTCTGAATTATATTTTGCTGTCTGTAACTGGAAGAAAATAGCCTTAATTCTCGTTTCATGAGGGATGAAACATTTTTTGAGCCTAAGATGACTTAGGACCTGTACTGATCAGTCTTGAGGATATGTCATATTTGTGATGTTAGTTAACCATGATTACCTGCCTTTCAGCTTGTCTGTTCTGAGTGTCACCATTTGGTTCTTTTCCACCATGGCAACTTTCCTGACGTAAATTTGAGACATGTCATCTCTTCTCATCCTCCTTTAGCACCAGCAGACCATGACGTGGAGCCTGTTGCAGTGTCCTGTGTGCACAGATAATGAGTGAGGGGCAATGTCAGAATTCCTTCCAGAGCTGGGATAGAGGGAAGGGATGGGGCATGCGGTGTGCTGGAGGTGAGATGGGGGAAATGCCACTTTATCTGTTTCTGTAGGCCACGTGTGCTTAAACAATGTCTTAATTTAGGGCATAAGTATTTGGTTTTTGCTTCCCAAGGTACAATTTTGTGATTGATTTAAGCCAATCTAAGTATGTCATGCTGCCAAAAGAGTACTTTCTCTGTCCATAACTCTGCATTCCAACCTCTTCTTCCCTTAAACCAGAACAAGTCTGTCAGATCCCACCAATTTCCAAATCTCTTTTCATAGGGGCTGGTACCTCTAGGATGGAGCTGGGGAGAATTTGTAGCGAGGGCAAGAGAAAAAGTGTCTTTTTGCGGTGGTTAATGCTTAGTCTGAAATTGCTTTTACCAGCCTTGCTTGTCTCCTGTTAATCTCAAAGTGTTCTTAGGTAGTGTTTAATGAAGTGCATAAATGTTTATGCTTCCTAATTTGGGATGCTAAATAGCAAATTAGTGTTTATAATGTCAGTGCATGTATCCTTTTATTAATTAAGGAACAGAATAGAAGAAACACTTAAACGTCAAGCTTCCACTTTTCAAGCAGACTTGTGGTTGTACAATTTTTTTTTAAGTGATACTAAGAAAATCCACTATTTTGGGGGAAAATGTCCACAATTTCCTCAGTCTTTTATGGCTTTAGTACTAATGTGTTTTCATTGTAGCAACTCTAATGAGGAGATCATGCTACGTTTCTTAGAAGATAAGTCTATTTGAGACAGCACTTTCTGAAACCTGGGAAAAGTAGATTAAAATTTAATTAGAGTAAGGAGTCTAGCTGCCCCTAAAATGCAAAGATTCTATCTTTAAAATCAGCATCAATCTTTCTCAGCTTTCTTCTTGACACACTTGTCCCATCAGGTGTTAATGCTGTAGAAGAATTCCCACGTACTCTATTGGGAAAGGTATCTGGGAAGTCTTCATATATTTCTTCTGAAGTTTCTTCCACTCTAGGTCCAGCAGGCAATTTTTAGAAGAGTTGAACAGGAGTGTGTTAGGTAACACAGAAAGGTTCACTTTCCCACATCAAGAAGTGTTGTGGAGGCTAATTGCTTCGGACTGGGCAACTGGCATTTAGCGTGAGCACTGCTTGAAGTTAAAGTAAAGGAACAGGATGTGCTAAAGATAATATGCTGATTTGTTGTGTTTTAAATCACGTTTGTATTTCTGGAAATTAGCTTTTGCTAATCATGAGCCAGTTTTTCATTCACTGTAGTTATAAAGCAGTTTGTGGAGAGCTCTGTAATGGTTAGCAGGTGTGTATGAATAACATCTTTGTACTTCAGTTTGGCCCTCTTTTCCCTCCCCATGAACCCGTACAAAAACCATAGAAGCCTTCATCAGTGTCCCTGTTTCAAGTAAGGAAGTAGGGTTTGGTTGTCATTTGTTCCACATTTACCCAAGAAAAAAATAGATGTTTTAAGAGGGTGTGCTTTTCTGAATTGAAATATCGATTGATAAATTAGCTGTGAATTTAATGTCGCTGTTTTATTCTGCCTTTCTGACAAATGTTGCTCTTATTGGTACATTAATTCTTTGGGAATTGTGTCTGCTTGTACACCGTTTTGCTTTGCATCTGTTGGGAATCTACTAGGAAACATTATGCCACAGCAATGCCTACTAACTTTTTATTTCATGTGAAACAGGGCTGAATTGTGGCATAACATGAAAGAGGATTTCTCTTGCCCTGTAATACTCCTGGTTCATCATTCTTAGGTTTGTGCTGTGCTATTGCTTCATGCTGTAAACCTGAATTTGTAAGCATCAGGAAAACACGGACTTACGAGTAAGTGACTTCTGTCCTGATCAGTGCATGCTGCTTCCTTCTTTTTTCATCAAAATAGAAAGAAGATATTACTGTTCTATGAATGATCTGAGTCCTTTGTTGCCACACAGTGTTGCTGCAATTTGTGATATGTATATTCATGACCTGATCCATATTAAAAAGCCTCTGGCACTCCTGCAAGGAAGCTGGACTAGAGTTAACAAAAATGGCTTGATTTTCCATTAATGATTTTATAAGGGAAATGAGCTACTATATTAAAGGGAAGAATCCTAACAGAGATATGAATACTTTGGTCAAGATGCCTACCCACTCAATAAAAAAGAAAGCTAGTATTTGTTAAAGAGAGAAGTCATCCTGTTTGGCTGTGCAAAGGGTCTGGATTTAGTGACGCTTCGTAGAGGTAGAAGCACAAGTGCGGATTGTTTGGATTTTTATTTTTTAAACACATCCAGACTAACGTTCTTATTTATTTAGTCCTGTCGAATTTCAGCTATCAGCAGGAGGAATTTGAGATTGCACGTGGGTAGCTGTTGAGCATGGCTGTCAGATCAGACACGATCTCCCTGCGGGAGGTGACTTCTGCATGCTGTACCTTTGATGTCGTATCTGATAGATCGCTGCGCTGCGGCTTTGTTGTCTTAAGTGTAGATTATTGTTCTCTTGGAAGTTTTAAGTAGCAATAAATTGAACTTTATTTGGTTTTAGTGAAATTGCAGAGATAATTCAGCTTCACGCTTCCTGAATTTGTAGACTTTAAAAAACTAAAGCTGAGTGCAGTTCATTGTTAAAATAATACTATCTTGATGCAAAACCTCAAAGGAATGAGAGCGTTTGGAATTAGGACAGCTTATTAGCTGTAGCCTGGCTGTGTGCTAACCTCATTTGTGTCGCTTGAGAGCCCCAAACTTGGCTGGTTTCTGGAAGAGAAGGCAAGGTTGTGTCATACGGACACGGAAGTGATGCTGGGGATTATATTCCAGTGTTCCATCATTTGGTATGAGAACTTTCAGGAAGACATAAAGATGAAATTTCTGCTTCCTCAAAATGAGGTGGTAGTTTTCTTGAAAATATTTGTCGTTAAGTGCATGCCTTTAGTCCTGGATTGATGAAGTCATAACATCAATTGCTTTGACTTTATTGGTGTCATTTTTTTCATCGTAACAGTGTGGGATGGTGAAGTGATTCATAGAACACTGGGGCAATAAAAATGCTATGAAGTACAATTATTGCATGTTTCATGCTCAGTAGCTAATTTTTAATTTCACCATCTTGGACACTTTTTCATCCCCTCAGGCTTCCTAAATAGGAAATGAGAATCATTTGGACTTGGAAAACAGGAACAGTAATTCAAAAAGGAATTAATTTACTTGACTGTTCATTTGCTTTACTTTTGCAATTATTTCCGCTGTTGCGTTTGAACAATAACTTTCTCTCTCTGCATCAGATACCACTTGTTCAGTCCTGTAGGGAAATAACAGTTCCGCAATTGTGACATCAGTTGTTGATCCAAAAGTTGAAAATACCTCACTTATGACATCAGAAGTTCCATTAAAGGCTGGGCCAACGCAGAGGTAAAAGCAACTCTGGGAGGAGAGGAAGAAACTGAGCCTTAAAGGATTTTTTTTTTCTTTGCTGCCTGATAAGTAGACATCTTCTTTCTGTGAAAGGAATTATTTCCTCCCCATTTTGCAGCATAGCAACTTGAGTTGATAATAAAACCTAAAAGGAACTAAACTCCTTGTTAGTATTTACACCTATTTTTAATGAATCGGGCTTACCTACTTCAATATGAATTTTTTTTCTTTAGTGATTTGGAATTTCTGAGTCACAGAAAATTTACTGAACACCTAAAAGATGCTTTCATTATAGCACAAGAATTGCAAAAAGTTCTGTGAAACGTAAGATAAGAAACTATGCTTGCTGGGGCTTGCATATCCTTTATAGTCATCATGAGCTTTCTTACTTTTGAGATGGAGAAAACATCCCAAAAGTCCCACTTTCCTGAGATAGACTAATTATCAGAAGAATTGGCTGTGAAAACCCTTTGGTACAGTCAGAATGAACCTGCACTGGGATGACAGCACAGGGAACATGCCTTGATATGGCCGTATCACACTGCCACATGACACACAGAGGGATGAAAGCCATAACATAAGAGCGTTTCATAGTCTTTCCTTTATAGTTGAATATATCTTTAAATAATTCCCAAATATTTAGTAAGAAATAATCTTAACTAAATTGCAGCATAGTTAAATTGTAACTTGTATTTTCACACGTTTTCAATTTTTCTTGTATTAACTGAATAGAAGTTTAATGGGACACACCTTTCTTGATGTTTAATTTGAGATATCAGCCCTCTGGTAATTGAAAATAATTCACTGGACTTTTTGAATCTGTGAACCACACGTGCCAAATTCTCCC